TCCCATATATATATATATATATATATATATATATATATATATATATATATATATATATATATATATGTGTGTGTGTGTTTATTTTACATTTTTGTTCACCCCTGTACAAAGACCAAGATCCGCTCGTGATAGATTGTTACAGAGTAAGAGTCACCACCCTAAGCAAGTTGATAATACCACCATGATGCAAGTCGGTTGCCCAAATACAAATATTTTTTTCTTAATAAATTCAGCGCAGGCAAGTCGTCAATGCCACTAAGACACAAGGGACTTCTGGGAGTGAAGGAGAATGAGAAAACTTTAAAATGAACTGGAAATCAAATCCTAAATAGAAAACAACTGATAAATCGTGAAACTGTTAGTCACCATGCACTGTTGATTCCTACGTCCTCATTGTCTATATCTATCAACGTTCTATCCCCGATTTTGAGCATTCATCTCCCACAAATAAAGAATAATTCATAAAGGATTTTTTCTCAAATGCACCACATATATAAACACATTTGAATAGACACAGAAAACCTACCGAACTCCCTCCATAAATTCCTCGTAGAAAAATACGACCATAATAGTCAAAATACGATTATAATAATCAAAATACGACCCTAATAGTCAAAATACGACCTCGTCCTGTGTAAGACGTTAAACTACATCCGCGTCCTGGGTAAGACGTTAAACTACGTCCAGCAGCAAGGCCTCTGATCAGGAGGTTTTGAGGAGCGTGGAATCACCTCTTAATTGCTGGTGTTCCCAGGTCCAACCGGACCCGGGGTGGTAGCACCTGTTAGGGTCCCAGTTATGGGCAAATAGTTAACTATTACAAGAAATACTTTTTTGAAAAAAATATTACCAGCAATACAGTTTTGAAGAAAATATATTGCCAGAAACAGATTTTTGACAAAATAAAATATTACCAGCAAAAAAACATTTTGTCAGCATTAAATAACCCATTGAGGTTGATATGCCGTAAAACAAAATAAACCAAACCAATCTAAACCAAAGAATACATATTCTATTCATATGAATCTATCCTAAAAATTTTGTCGGCATTAAATAACCCATTGAGGTTGATATGTCGTAAAACAAAAATAAACTAAACCAATCTAAACCAAAGAATACATATTCTATTCATATGAATCTATCCTAAAAATGTTGTCGGCATTAAATAACCCATTGAGGTTGATATGCCGTAAAACAAAATAAACCAAAAATTTAAACCAAAGAATACATATTCTATTCATAAATCTAAAATGTTTTCGGCATTAAATAACCCATTGAGGTTGATATCGTAAAACAAAAAAAAAACCAAACCAATTTAAACCAAAGAATACATATATTCATATGACTATCCTAAAAATGTTTTCGGCATTAAATAACCCATTGAGGTTGATATGCCGTAAAACAAAATAAACCAAACCAATTTAAACCAAAGAATACATATTCTATTCATATGAATCTATTCTAAAAATGTTGTCGGCATTAAATAACCCACTGAGGTTTATATGCCGTAAAACAAAATAAACCAAACCAATTTAAACCAAAGAATACATATTCTATTCATATGAATCTATTCTAAAAATGTTGTCGGCATTAAATAACCCATTGAGGTTGATATGCCGTAAAACAAAATAAACCAAACCAATCTAAAATACGACCATAATAGTCACATGCACAAAGGCTAAACATAATCGAAGCATTATTAATAAAAAAGTAAAAGCCAACACAAAGTGATATCAACCATGAACACGGCCAAAACGTGTTTAGAAAATAAAATATAACATTCCTATCACTAGAGATACACATATAAAAATCTATATATTCAGTTTAAAAAAATCGCAGATAATGACGAACAGGCGAAAGCGCTTGGATATATAGAACATTTAGACATTTTTTTTATGCACTTAATGTCAGGATGAGAATATACTTTAAACGAACACAATAAACAAATTTAGATAAAATGCTTAATTGCAATGATCTTTTTCCTCTCACCATTGCTCATTTGAGAAGATAGTGGGGCTGATCTAAAACGATTTTTAACCTATTCTCTTTCTAGGCGAATAACTCAAACGACATTCAGTGATTCGTACGACAAATGGTTTCTGATCTGAAAACCTGGAAAAAAAAAACTCAATTCGTTTAATGGATTTTTTTTTAGATATTGAACATTTTTGGGATGGACAATTATCCGATGATGTTACAGGATTTGGACAATTTTGCTTTCTCTCTCTCTCTCTCTCTCTCTCTCTCTCTCTCTCTCTCTCTCTGTGTGTGTGTGTGTGTGTGTGTGTGTGATGAATGGACTAATGTTAACAGATTATCACACATACATTGATAGGTAGGTACGTAGATATTAAGTGCTCAGTTCAAAATTTCTTGAAGATTACCCAGATCGGCAAGCACCTGATGAGAACCGGAGGTTACTAAGCCGAAACACTGTGATAATAACAACAAAGATGAGGACAATAGTCCGAATGTATATAATATAAATGGTGACAACTCC